AACGCAGTTACATAGAAAGATCCAAAATTCGGAGTGCTCTTGCTAAAGTTCTAATTTTCTGCGAAAGTCGTTCTCCAAATGAAATGCTCCTAGGGCAGATGTTGTAGAGCATCGAACGAGCTTTTCAATGGTAAAAAGAATTTTCTTCTAACTGTTTTTACTCGCGTAAAAATAGCAAAAAACAAACGTACACATTTTTTTGTCACACCGTTTTAGAGCACTCAACGTTCTTCATAGAACTTGATACTTATAGCTTGAGGACTTCTGGCCTTCTTGAAGATACTCCACTTGCAAACAAAGTTTCAAAAGGTGCCTTAGGCTTTTCAATCGAGTCGGGAGTTCAAACTTGCAAGCAGCCCTTGTGCCTTGATTGAGAAATATTTCTAATAAAAAACAAGCCATTTTGTAAAGAATTGAATTCTCTGTTCGACAGTATATTTTTAAAATTATTTTACGAAAATCTCTAGGTCAGAAAATGAAAATTAAAGTTTTCAAAAATTTTAAATTTAAATTTTCTAATTGAAAACTCAGTTTTTCGGCCGAATGGCCGAATTCGTGATCGGTATGAAAACCTACGTCTGGTGATGGGCTCCTATCAATTTCCCGATGAAAAAAACAAAAACTTGATGAGCGAAGTGTCGCGTTACGTGGACAAGCGGATATATTATCTACTTGACAGACTTTTATATTAAAGGATGATGTGGTCAGGCCTGGAGCCATCGCCTAATCAATATGATGAGAATTATTTGAATATCATGAAGCAAATTGTCGAATTATTACAAAAGTACGGGATTTATGTGTTGTTGGACATGCACCAAGATGTACTATCGACCCGTGTTGGATCATATGATGGTATTCCGCCATGGCTCTATGATCGCTTTCCACCTTCAAAACATTCTTGTAAGTTTTAGAGATAATAAAGAAATTATTTCGAACATAATTTCTATTAACGTCTAGATCCCTGGCCATTAAAACCAAACTCAACGGCCGGTGGTAATTGGTTTGTTGGTTATATAACCGAGGCCACAAGTCATGGTTTTCAGTGTTTATATGACAATGTGAGCGGCGCCGTTGATTCATTTAAAAATTTCTGGCGTCTCGTTGCATCTACCTTTGGATCGTATGAAACAGTTATCGGCTACGAGTTTATTAATGAACCATGGGCAGGGAATATATATGAGAACCCGGCATTAGCCTTACCGGGTGAAGCAGGCTCATTGAATCTTCTGCCATTGTACGATAAATTAAACACAGCAATACGATCAGTCGATAATGATACGTTAATATTTTACGAACCAGTTACGTGGGGTGTTCGATTAAATGGAAAATATTTTGGAACCGGATTCTCACACGTTCCAGGTGGTGCACAATATCAAAATCGGAGTGTACTATCATGTAAGTAGTTTATACTAGAAATTAGGAAAGCTGCCTTTATCAGAAAAACACGCAAATTAGAGAAGATCAATTATATTACAGGTTTTGTTTACTAAAATTTCACAGTCATGCAGGAAGGCGACCTAGACTTTAACACTTTGTAAGACTTTTTATCTGGAAATTTTTTCTGCTTATGCCTTCGTAGTTCGTATATACGACTTATTTTTCACGGCCATGTATGCATCGAAATTTGTTTACCCAGTAGAGTGTTTGGCTCATAAAGAATTTAACCCTTGGGCATTAAGCGCACTCACCGCCACGAGTAAAATAAACCTTTTTGCAGATACTCGATATCGAGTTATATGCATCATCACATAATCCAAGGTGTCTTCAATTAAAATCCACGATGATGTGAGATTCATCGGACTTCCTTAAGAGTTTCGAAAAACTTTTTCAATGTCTTAAAATAGTGTCGCTTCTGAAAAGTGTGGTTTTTCAATAAAAAAATATAATATAAAGTTAGGAGAAGTTTGCTAGAAGCCTAAGACATATACAAGACGCATCTAGAAAGCAATGATGACATTTAAAGCATCTCGTATTGGCAGAGATTCTTCATCAAATCAGATGAAGAGCTAAAGAGCTACAATTAGCTTTAAATCAAATACGACAAAGTGGGTGACGTCCTACTTCCCGATTTTTTCAAACCATCTCAACACCACCACTAGAAAGGTCATAGTTTAAAATCTTTAAACACCAGGTTTCATTAACGTTATTTTATTGCTTCATTATGAAACAAGCTTCAACTTTTTGATCTAACACGCCTGTTGCATAAGAATTTTTCACTATAGAAAGAATAATAAATTCTAAATTCTAAATGCTCTTTCGAATGTCTACTTGACCCAAAATGACTGTCTTTTACAATTATTTTAGATCATTACTACTGCACTATTCTATCGTTGGTACCTGTACCTGGAAACGAGTCTATACCTGTGTTTGATCGTACTCTGTGCGATGATATTGAAGGCCCTGCTATTTTTCGCAGTGTCGCAGTCGATCTAAATCAACTGGGTGGCTCGTCATTCTTGACTGAATTTGGTGGCTGTGATAACACTCCGACATGCCTTGAACAGGTCATATATGGTCTAGAAAAAACCGATGAATTTTGGCAATCATGGGCATACTGGGGTGATTTATTCATTGATGGTGCGGCAGGTATTATTGATTTACCCAATATTAAAATACTTTCGCGTCCGTACGCACGTGCTGTAGCTGGTATACCACTTTCCCTTCAATTCAATGCTCAACGTTTAACGTTTTATTTTGCCTACACAATTGATCCATCTATTGGCCAACCGACAGAAATTTACGTTCCACCACTATCTTACTCAAACGGTTTCAACGTAACTGTAAGCGAGGGTTTGATATGGTCAGTTGATTCAACAAATAAAAATATCATTCTCGTTTATCATCCGACAAAATTATTTTCCAGACACGAAAACATCATTGGCATTGTTGAAATAAATCCAGCTTAATTGAACGTCATATTTAATCTTATCTTTTACTTTGTGCGTCCTACATATGTCCGGTGATATGCTTATATTTTCATATACTTTTCTTCATTCCTTCCACATAAACAAATATAAAAAATTGCTGTTTAATATGTATTCGACTCGTTTCAGTTTTCAGTTCTATCTAACAGCTTTCTTTTCGTTGCTATCGAGCATAAGCAAAAGGAAGTGATTCGGAAGGAGTTATTCAATTCACAGTCTCTCTTCTATACTAGTTTAGGTTCTATTGTACTTTTTTTCAGCAACGTGGTCAATGAATTAATTTGTTAAGCAGATACCGAAAATGCAACACTGTTAGTTTTTTGGATGGAAGTTCACTAAAAGAATTCAGTTTTACAAAGCTTTTATGCTTTCAAAAACTCAAGAAATAGGATACATGTGTTTTGTTAAATGTGTGAGATGATAAACTGCCTACATTACTGTGAAACTTTAGAAAAAAATCATATATTTTAATTGAGCTAACTATTTAATTATTTGTACAGAGAAATTTTACACTTGAAGTTAAATATTGATGAGCAATTTTGAAACAATATTTTTCGATCATTCATGATTTTTCGACTTTCTGTCTGGTTTATGTCTTGTGAATTCAATAATTATTGTGAAATCCAACAGATAATTATTAAGAGAGGTTTTATGAGCCCAT